TTAGGGACTCCGCCCTAGCTTCCTTTACTTCCCTGTCTTACTTCTCCACTCCCCTTCAGCTACATCTTGGCAACATCTTCCAAGTCAACCAAGGCTCACATCCTCGTATCTGGGGAAAACCCAACTTAAAATATCACCGATCTTTGAGCACTTTTAATTCACAAGGAAAATCCTGCACAGAATTCAGGGCCACTGGTTTCTCCAGCTCAGTCTGTGTGAATGGCACACCCTGGAGCTGTGGATGGCAATAGCAGCCACGCTGAGTGGCATCTTCCTAATGACCAACCCGTGCTAAATAATAAAAACAACGGTAATAATAACAGCTGTTTACCTTATACCATTAGTGCTAAGTGTTACACATATCATGTCTCAATTAATCCCCGTAACAACCTAGGGGGTAGGCAATGCTATTGTTCTGTTCTATAGGAGAAATCCTGAAACTCAGCAAGATTCAGTCACTTTTCCAGGTCACCCAGCAGAGCTGGGATTTGACCCTAGATAGGTTTGACACCACATCCTAGTTTCCTACCTGTCCACTATTACGCAGGAGACCTGTCCAATTCTAACATGTTGAGCTCCAGAGACTCCCCCGTGCCGGGTATCCACATTTCCCAGAAACCCTCTCAGGTCCCACAGCAGGAGACCTAAGACTGCAAAAGCCCGTGGCCCACATTCTGACAATGTCAGCTCTGCATTGCCAGGCTAGCTGGGCTGGTGCACGACCTCAGCAGCTTGGGCCTTTTACTAGCAAGAGGCAAGTAGAGCAACTGTTCACCAACTCTCTTTGCTGGGGGCAGACGAAGAACAGCCCGGAACCAGCTGCAAGTGTCTCTGAAGTCCTATCATCTCTTTGTTCTGGGGCTTCACAAAAATGAGGTAAATGTCACCAGGCATCAGCTTAGAGACAGGCGTGGAAGAGTTCTCCTTGGTTTGAAAGAAGCCACCACCCCCTGGGTAATTAGGCCAAGCTCTACTGCATTAAAAATGCTGGTGAGGAGGAAAGGCAGTGAGCTGGAAGCCGTTAACAGCTACCTCGCTACCTAGAATCACAGAGAGACTGAATTACACAAAGAGCCTAACTGTCCGAGGAGAATTCAAAACAGCTATTTTTAGACATTACCCAAGGCTCCTGTGGGCTGTTAGACATTCAAATAGCTTGAATTGGGTGCTTCTCAGAGTGAGTTTGGGGTTTTCATGAGAAGAAGGGAGCATCACTTCTCCTCTGTACCAAGCACTGTGCTAGGTGCTCTCTAGACCTTAGGTTACCCGTGGTCTCAGAAATTGGGAAAGGTTGGAATTGTCTCCACTGTAAAGATGAGGCACCTGAGGCTTAGAAAGGATAAGTGGCTTGGCCAAAAAATTCCCACAGTGAGTGAGTTGGGGGAGCAGAGATGGAAACAAGGTGTGCCTGTTTCCAAAATCTACATTGCTCCCAATATTTTCCTGCACAAAGAACTGGGTTTTGCTTTAGAGAAGAAGAGCAAATCAACTCTCCCCTGTCATGGTACAGCGAGAGGACAATTTTCTAACTATCATACCATGGGTCCTACATAGAAGAACTTACAAAGTCCTGCATGAATTACAAACTTCAGGGCTCCCAGACATGGTCCATCCAGGAAAAACTGACTTTTCCTTGATCGTCTGGGAAGTGATTGGAAGGTCGTGTCCCAGAGCCAAAGGCACCAACACTGCACACATTTCTCCTTCCAATTCTTAAAGACGAACACCATAAAAATGGTCAGAACTATAACAGTGGTAGACAGAATCTACCATGTAAATCAAGCGACTATTTTTTTGTGATAATGTAAGCTTCATGACACCTTTCCCCAGGTAGAGAGGGGAAGGGGAGAACAAGAGAAAAAAAGTGCAGAGCCCTGGGAGAGGCTAGTTTGCAGTCGTCTGGGTTTTAGGCCATGCTTCAGGACTGTCAGCACCACTCAGACAAGGCCCACAGTAGAGATCAACTCCTTCTTGATGAACCTTGCAACCCAAATCTTGTTGAGTATCCTTTGGGTAGATGAAATTTCTTATAACATCCTATCAAGCCCTAATATCCTCAAATCACCAGCACATCTCTTCACCCGAGAGGAGAGCTATATTCACGGACACATTTAGCAAACTACTGTGAAAAATGTCATCTGACCAAGTGGGAAGTCCATTTTTTGGTCCTTGGTAACAAGGCAAAGAGTCCACAAGCGAGAGTCTGTATCAAGACAGAATAGCAGGTTGGCTTCGGACACTTGCTCTCAGAAGGTGCTCCCTTGGCTCCTGCAGACAGAGTCTCTGCAATCCTCTCTGCATGGATTGCACCGTGGCTGAGCCAATCCCACTGCATGGCGAGCTCCTGATGACGGGCATTGTGCTTCACTCCTCACGGAGCCTCTCCATACCTGGTCCACATGGGACTCATCCAGCGTTTTGGTTGGATGAATGGCCCAGTGCTCTCTCTGTGCTTCCCAACTGAGAGCTCACCAAGAGTCTCAACTTGACACATCCTCAACCATCTGTCTTCTTTTCCAAGCCACCTCCCGCTAGTCTCAGCTACAGAACCCTTCAGGTTAAAATGGCTTAGATTTTTCTTTTAAGGTTTCTAGCTGGAGGTGCCCAAGCTTCACATCTGTACAGGGATACTTGAGAACAACATGGTGCACTTACAGAACCCAGGACTCCTTTCTCAGTAGCAATGAATGTGTTCCTTTTCTTGGATATAATGCAAAAATGCTTTTCTCAGATGGTGCAAAACACCACCCAGGTGAGTTCTGCCACCACAGAGGTAGGCAGGGGAGTGCAGCAAGGTTCCTGCCAACCTCACAGGTTGCTCCTAGCAAACCCCCAGTCTGCTCACTGTTACAAGGGCGTAACATGCCTTTTGTGGTAAATCCCAGTGATATTTGTGTGTTAATGCTTATATGATCAAAAAGTCTTTGATAGTTCATGGAAGTGTTATTATACTAGGTGATCACAATAGCGTGTTCATATGTGTGCATGTGTGTGTGTGTGTGTGAGAAAGAGAGAGAGTCCAGGTTATCCAGACAACTTGTACATTAACCGAAAGGAGGTCTGACTAATGTCTGGCTCTACTATTCCGGTTCTCTATCTCAGCTTCATCCACCAGGAGGTGTCAGTGGCAGCAGCTTTCCCCACTAAGTACCTCTAACTTAAAAGACATCTCTTCAGAAGGTCCAAGAGTCACCATCAAAATAACACAAACATTGGTGTGATGGTGATAAATATACCACCAAGTTAAAGACTTGTCACACTGACAGCCAAACCAGAAACCCACTGTGTGGACATTCTCCAGACCTGACCTGAAGCGAGTGTAAGGAAGGAGCTGGTGCAGTCCATTTGCAGAAACAGGCCAGTTTGCAAATTGGTGGCTGGCTCGACCCAACTACAAAGCTTGAACAGAGTTTCAAAAATAAGAGATTTCAAAGACTAAATTCACTATCAAGGAAGCCAAGAATAAATTTTTATGAACAGTGAAATTTACATGGAAGAAGTTTTTATCTGCAGATAGGTGTCAACTTTCTGCCAAATCCACCAGGTGGGCAGGACTACATTCTGGGTAAGATCTGCCAAGGTCTAAGGCCTCATTATTCAAAGTGTGGTCTGAGGACCAGCAGCCTGGCATCACCTGTGGGATCCTCAAAAATGCAGAATCTCACTGGACTTGTTGAATCAGAATTTGCTTTTTAATAAGACCTCCTGTGGGACTCTCAGGGACATTCAAATTTGGGAAACAATGGCCCAAAGATGACACAACAACTACAGGTTTCTGTTCTTGCTCTTGGACTGCCCAGGAGGGGTAAACCCCAGAAAGGTCAGTGTCCCATCTTTCTTTTTTTTTTTTTTTTATTTGAGACAGAGCCTCAAGCTGTCCCCCTGGGTAGAGTGCCATGGCATTACAGCTCACAGCAACCTCCAACTCCTGGGCTCAAGCGAGTCTCCTGCCTCAGCCTCCCAAGTAGCTGGGACCACAGGCGCCCGCCACAACGCCCGGCTATTTTTTTTGGTTGTAGCCGTCATTGTTGTTTGGCGGGTCTGGGCTGGGGATTCGAACCCACCACCTTAGGTGTACTTGGCTGGCGCCTTAGCCAGTTGAGCTATAGGCGCCGAGCCAGTGTCCCATCTTTCACCATTAGCTCTTTTCATAGGTATTAAGGTCATCTGGAATGAGATGGTGTGACCTTGGGCTGGTTTGGGATAATTAATAATAGTAATCCCCTATTACTGTAGTGTCCCTGTAGGGACACTAGAAGTCAAGTGTATTCTTGGCTTAGCATAGTGGCTGGCACACAGCAGATTCTTGGAGACAATCAAGGGACAGTGTTCACAGAAGAGGAGCCAGCTCTGTCCTTTTACTCATGTCCTCATTCTCTCGGTTTGGAAATTGGAGGTTTTTCCCCAACAAGACTCAGAAAGAAACATAGGCCAGGATGAATTCTCTCTGTGAAAGCACCAAAGACCCTACAGTTGGTTTAAATCCTCTGCTGCTCACAGCTATGGGACATTAAAACTCAGTTTCCTCATCTGTAAAATGGGAATAAGTACAGTGTATATTTCAAGGGTCATTATGAAGAATAGATGTGCTATTAGATGTGAGGCATTGGGAGGAAGACAAAGTGTTTGCTGTTGTCATTGTCACTGCTGTTGCCATTGGGATCATCATCATCTTCATGGTTAGAGACAATCTCCCTGAGAAAATCAGGAAGGACAGGCGGGTTTGGGCATCAATGCAGTTTCAGAAGGAGGAAGGCTGGTAAGGCTGAGGGGAGCAGCGGGCACAGGAAGGAAGGGCGTGTGTGAACGTTTCAAGGAACCAGGCAAAGGCCTGCACAAGCAGCGGGTGGGAGGTGAGGCTGGGACAGAATGGTGGTGTCCTTGCAGTGAAGAGGAGCCACGGACAGTGCAGGGCAGACATGCAGGGACCCCTCACGCTGGGTGGGCGAGGGCCACGGCCCAGGGAGAAGCCAGAGGGGAGGTGGGGCGGACTCACGTACACCTGCGGGCCGACTCCTGGGCCAGCTGCAGCCGGTAGACGGAGAGGCGGTTGGCACTGCCGCACACGCTGCCCCGCTCGCCCTTGCACTCCATGTCGCACTCCGCCTCGCTCACGTTTGCCGCCTGGATCTTGTGGCCACAGTAGCATTCAGCGCCGAACTCCAGCCCCGCGTACAGGTAACCCCTGGGGGAGGCTGCTGTCAAGCAGGGCAGCCGCCACCATGGAGACCCCAAGGCCAGGGAGACTCTATGTGGAGACCTGGGGATGGGAGGGTTCTGGAGACCAGGAGATCCCAGGGGAAATGGGGAGACTGCTGATGGGAGAGGGGTGCAATGAGGAGACCCCAGGGGACCCACCCCATGTGGAGACCTGGAAGATAGGGGCCTTCAGGAGACAGGGAGGCCCCAAGGGAATGAGGAGACTTGGGGGCAGCTCACAGGAAGACCCTGGAAGGGGGATGGGGAGCACCTTGGAGGGAACATGGGGACTCAGGAAGACCTGGGGGACAGGCATGCACCTGGGGCAGGGAGATCTGGGTTGGGGATGACCCAACCTGGAGAGGAGTTAAGGAGGCTAAGGAGTTAGGAAGCCCCAGGAGGGCAGCAGAGCCGGAAGGAACACAGAGAGGCTCTGAGGGAACAGGGGGACCCGGGGCAAGGAACAGAAATGCCCCAGGGACCACCCACCTGCCTTCATCTGCACCTGGCCTCTTATGCCCCTTACACTTCTGCCCACATAGATGCGCCATGCCCATATTCACACACGCCTGTCCACACCTCCACCTGGGATGCCTGCCACACACACACACCCCCTAGATCCCTCTGTGATGCTCCCACCCTGCCTGACTCTTTCCCTCCTCCCTGTCTGGCCAGAGTCTGCCCCCTTATTCCAGAGAACATCACCCAGGAATAAGGCCTCTGTGTATTTCGAGAGGAGGCAGGAACTCTCATATCCCTTGGGGGAGGCAAGAAACAAGCTCACCCACCCAAGGAAAAAATTTCTTTCTCTGAAACAAAAAAAATCTAAGCACTGTAAGGTTTTCAACATTTTTTTTCTTCATAGTGCTTTCCTAAAAAGCACTCCTGGCGGATACCCCATTCTGTAAACAAATGAAAAGGGCGTTGCTTGCTCTGGTTCAGGAGGCAGAAAACCCCCCACTCCCCTCCATCTCTCCCCTCACTCTTTGCCCATGGTGGCCTCCGAGGCATCCTGCAGACCATGAAGTCTCCTCAGGGAGCAGCCTATGAAACCCTGGTCATGCGAGGGGTAACCAACGGGAACTGTCAGCTCATGTCTCATTCTGGATCAGGCGGCGCTGGCTGGAGAGACAGACCCTCCCAGACTCAGGCCTCCATGTATCCCAAGGGCATGACGTCTGGTCCACCTGCTCACCCAGGCAGATGTAGTAAGAGCAGCTTAAACACACTGAGCAGCTCGGTGTCTGGCACCCTGGGGCTGGATCAGCCTCCTCCCACTTAACTGCCTCAGACTCACTGTTTTTCTTAAGCCATGTGAGATAATAAATGTTTGTTGTTTTAAGATGCTAAATTTTGGGATAATTTGTTACACAGCAATGGATAATTAATATAGAAAGGAAAATGGAGACACCTTGATATCCTCAAGGCTGCCCATCACTGACTACTGTCACTTTTGCCAGAAGCATCTTTCAAAAATTAAAACAGATCACGCCTCTGGGTGTGAAAACCGTAGTAGCAGTGTTCCAACTGAACTAGCAGCATTAGTATCACCTGGGAACTTGTTAGAAAAACGCCAATTCTTTTACCCCACTCCAAACCTGTTGAATCAGAAAATGGGGGTAGGACACCGTAATCAGTTTCAAAAGATTCCAGGTGAGTCTGACAAATACTTTCAAGAAACCTTGCCTTAGATCAGGGGTCCTCAAACTTTTTAAACAAGGGGCCAGTTCTCTGTCCCTCAGACTGTTGGAGGGTGGGACGAGTCAGCTGCTAAGCAGGACAGGCAGCACAACAGGTGGGATAAATGTCCTAGGCAGGCCGCATGTAGCCCACAGGCCATCGTTTTGAGGCTGCCTGCCTTAGATATCTGGTACCTCCCTTGACAGATAACTCCTCACCTCTTCATTCTCATATTCTACTGATATAATCTGCATGCTTTGTGTTCCCTCAAAATTCAGCTGCTGAGACACACCCCTAGATGATTATATTAAGAAGTGACGTTTGGGGGAGGTTCAGAGCCTTCATGAATGGATTAATGTCCTTAAAATGGAGGATTTGGGGACCCCTTTTGCCTTCCACCTTGGGAGGACGCAGCAACAAGATGCTATCTCTGAAGCAGAGAGCCCTCACCAGATACCATATCTGCTGGCACCTTGATCTTGGACTTCCTAGCATCCGGAACTGTGTGCAACACGTTTCTGCTGTGTATGAATTACCTGATCCAAGGCATTTTGTTATAGCAGCCTGACTGGACTGAGACACCCACCATCCTTCTCTCTGCCAGTTCTGCCGCAGTCATGGGCACTTTGCTCCTTGAACATTCCAAGCTCATTCCCACCCTGAGGCCTTTCTCCCTGCCGTTCTTCTGCCTGGAACACTCTTTCTCTGCTATTCACATAATTGGTTCCTTCTTAACTTTCAGGTTTGAGCTCAAAGTCATCTTCCTGAGGAGCCTTCCCTGATCCCCCTACATGCCAGTTACTATCTAACCACCTTGTTTTGTTTTTTTTATAGCTCTTATCCATTTTTGAAGTCATCTTAATTTGTTCATTTATTTTTCTTGTATATTGCCTTTCTCCTCTCCACCTATCTCCATGAGGGCAGAGACCCTGTGGGTCTTGTTCATCTCCATATCCTGGGACGAAGCCTGGCAGATGACAGATGTTTAATGCATATTTGTTGAATGAATGTAAACCACTCCCATGATTAATACCCTCTAGTGGCTCCCATGTCCCTCATGGTCAAATCCATATGCTCTAGCTGACATCCAAGACCCTGTGTCACTGGAACTCAGCCACCTCTTCAGTTTCCCTGGCACTTCCTTCGAACCCTCTGTGCATTCCACACACTGCCTTCCTAAGGACCCTGGGTATTTTAGGATGTTTCAGAAATCCTGGCCCTTAAGCATGCTGTTATTTCTGTCTTACTGTGATTACCTCGAAAACTCCTACTCATCCTTCAAAAGCTAGATCGTGGTCTCACCTTTGTAACTCATCCTGAACCTCCACGTGGAGCCCTTTAATTCTACTTTCACAACTCCCCAGCACCATGCACACCTGACCCAGCACCTATCATGCTGGATATCTCCATACCCTGGCTTCCTCCTCTGAGGAATGTGATTTATAACCTTCCTGCCTGGCAGGGGATCTTGTGGTTTTAAAGAGTTAACATTTGCAAAATGCTTAGAACAGAGCAAGAATTACTAAGCACATGCTGTTGCTATTCCACTGACCAAGCCTGCTCATGCCTCTATCTCCCCACATGGATGGGGAGCCCCTCTAAGGGCAGACTTGTGGCTGACTCATCTCTGCATCTTCAACATCTGGAATAGGCCTAGCCCACATGGGCAGCCAACAAATATCTGCTGAACCTAACTGACTAACATGAATAGCAGTGACTCATTTGAGAAGTCTTTCCTGACACCCCAGGCAGGTTAGAGGAATCTCTGCATTTCCAACTATCTGCGATGATTGCATCTCAACTCTTATCTCACTGTATTGCCCTTGCTGTTCACTTGTTTGTCTCCACTTCTAGGGCTGTGAGCTCCTTGGGGGCAGAGCTTTGTGGAATCCACCTCTGTCTCCCCACAGTTTGACAAATACATTAATGACTCCATGTCATCAAGGACTTGGGGTCCTTCTCAAGTTGGAGAGGGTCCTGGGCTCAAGACTTTAAAGGTGGGCTCCTTGGGAAGCTGATTATAAAGAAGACCATGTTTCCTAATCAGGGAGAGTGGGAAGAGTCCCTCCGTGGCTACCCACTGGCTCCTTTCCACACGAGGCATGAAACTTGAGGTTGGTAGAGCTTTTGACTGACAGAGCCAGCTGGCTGGAGTCTGGAGGTGAGTGTATTAGAAGCCTCCTCACTAGCCACTACAAGGAGAAGGCACCCATGAGACAAGGGGAGGAGAAGGTCAGCACAGCCCCTGATTCCCCCAGGGTCCAGTCCCTGCTCATTAGTCCTCTCAGGAATCGTCCACTCTTGCCAAATTAACTCCCCCACCAGCACATGCTCTAATCAAAAACATCATCTTCCTAGATTGGGAAACACTGTACAAACAGGTAAAGGTTTCTCCTTGGGAGAAAAACAGGGATTTCTATATTGAGAAACCATCAGATGCTCCCAACTTATCCTTCACACGGACATCTTACAAGCCTAACATTTACGCTCTCACCTGTGCACACGCACATACCCAACTGTGCAATTCCTCACAATCTTGCACACTCTCAACACAGCATTGCACATTCAGTGATGCCATCAGGCACCTTCACCCACAAGCACAATTCTAAACCCTTATATACATATTCACAGAGACTCCCATGCACACACACAGCCACTACTATTTAAAGATCATTATGTATCAGCATTAGCTCACAGATGTAACCAGATGACAAGGACCATTCCCTTGTCATTATGTATCAGCATTAGCTCACAGATATAACCAGATGACCCGACACACTACAAACTCCCTCCTGGGTACAATCTCACATAAGTGCACAATCACAAACTCCCACAGACCACCTCCTGAACAGTCCCGTTCAGGTGCACACACACACCTCCTTGCAATACCCTTTCCCTGGGGTCACCTGCTCCCCCTCCAGCACACCTCCCATGACAAGGCCAAGAATACCACAGGCAGAAACCTTAGAAGGAAGGGTCCCAGGTGAATGAGTCTGGGACACCAGGCCCCTACCGTTCAGCACAGTTGTCCTGGCAACGGAAGATGGTCATCTTTTTGTAGTCGAAAAAGGACACGCCTCGCAGGGCTCGACTCTGGGTGTCATCCAGGTAGCAGCCGATGTATTTGGCTTGGGGGAAAGAAAAGGTCAGACATGTCTGGGGAGGAAGATGCAGTTCAACATGTCCCTCGTTATGTAGCCTTGTTTACCTTTGGTATCAGTTCCTTCCTCCAGGTAGAAACCAGAGACTGAAAACTATGTGCCCTGGCAGAGCCTGGTCTTACCAGGGAGATGTAAGGCTGTGGACCCTGGAGGCCAACAGAGGGGAGGAAGGAACCCTGGTGTGGACAGCGTTATAGCCAAGCTGTTGGGGTCTCCTGGTGACAACTGGGCACCCGGGAACCCAAGCGGTGGCCATTCCCTAAGCACCAAACAGAACTTCCCATTTCTTGCAAGATGAGACTCATATTAAGACAGCTATAAAGAAAAGGCTTAACCTTTTACACCATGTTACCATTTCTACAAGTTCCCTAAAGGGATTTATTTTTCCTTGGGAAGCACCCTGGACTTGGATACCTCAAGGTCTAGGTCTTCATTTCACTTCAGTTACTTCCTAGCATGGGCCTAGTTAAGTTTAAGCCAGTTTCTCTCAGAGGCCTAATTTTATTTGTAGTGAGGTTAAAAACACCAATCCGAGGGAGTTAAAATGGAATGATTTGTGTAAAGGTGTCTACCATAATATCTTGCATATAAGAGGCACCAAATTAACATGAGTAGAATAAGAAACTTGCCATTCACTGTGTTGTGATAAGTACTTTACAGTATGCCTCTACTATGAGCCAGAGTGAATGCTTCCATCCAAAGGGAAAATGTAAATGACATAAAACCATTATCTAATTATAAACCACATACTTAGTTTTCTTAAAGTAGTAAACATTTTCCTGTACTTCATGGTAAATAATAACTCTCATGCACAAACATTGTACTTTACAGTTTATGAAGTCTTTTCCTATATGTTCTTAAAATTATTATTACTATTTGGACATGCACTTTGGTAGGTGCTTTACACACACTGTCTCCTTGCAATGAGCCTATGAGAATATTATTCCCATTTTTTGAAGAATAGGTAAAGGCCCAGAGAGGTGAAGTCACTCATTCAAGGTAACACAGCTTATACATGTGGAGTTAGAATTGGATCCAAGCTACCTGGCTCCAAAGTTCATGTTTTGAACTGCCTGAGTCTTGACTCAAGGGATCTTTGCAATGCCCTGTGATAAATGGAAAACACTGCGAGTCTCATGTTTTTTCCTTAAATGACCAAATAGAAACGTAAAGTGGCCTCCCTGAGCTCCACTGCTAACTGGTCACAGAACAAAGATTTAAATCAGTTCTGTGGGATCCTCAAATCAGTAAGTGAAGGTTGGACGCAGGATCCAGCCCTTGGAATTAAATGGCCCTTATGGGGAATGAATGAGGAAAATGCTAAATGCCACTTAATCACTTCCCTGGCTAGCCTGCTGCCCCGCCCCTCTGACATGTGGTGGAAAGCAGGATCAAGCAGAGGATGCAGGCTCATTACCGAGGGATTGTGCCCCTCAACTCAGCTCTGCTAAATGCAGTATTTGTCAGCCCTGCGGGAGACATGCCTTGACCCTATCGCCTTGAATTTCTATCATGAGGCAGAGGTGATTTGCTTGACTAGGAACAGTCCATCATTAAAAGCAACATTGCCTCCCGGACCGCTCCAGGTGTTCCATCAGACAGTAACAGCTCTGGAGAAGTCTGCATCTTGTCTTTGTGTTTGTTCGACAACACGTGCCCCTCCTGTCACAGATGCAGTCACAGCCCCTGGCTTGGGGTGGGGATGCTGTTCAGACCTGAGCTGGGAGAGAGCACTTTGTGGTCACAGGGGTGGGGGCTTCATGCTAAACTTAGCTCGGTAGTTCCAAGGATGCATTGTAGGATGGGGTGGGGGGAGAAAGAAAAAGGAGTTGGAGAGAAGGGAGGAAAGAGAAAGGGAGGGAGGAAAGGAAGAAGGGGTGAGAGGGAAGAGAAGGAGAGGGAACAGAAGGAGAGTGGAGGAAAAGGTTGGTTTGTTAGTATTAAATCTTTGTCATCAGAACAACAGATTGCATATATGTACATGTGTGAGAAAGAGAGGAGGGAAAACTACCATGTATTAAGTACCTACTATGTGCTTTCTACTATGGGCCATGTCTCATTTTGCTAAATTCCATCTTTACCAACTTCTTATCAACCCATTTTATGGATGAAGGAACTAATCATAGTGACTCTTACACTTGTCTACTCTAGAAGAAAATCTAAAGTTTTGGTGGACAGTCTATGTTCTGACTGGTTTTTCCTCCTTTCAAAATGGAATTAGAAGCCAAGTCATCTGCCCAAGCTCCTACATTGGGTCTCACTTCCAATTTAAGCCCCAGATCTGTCTTCCAACCATTTTACACTTGGGAAAGTTTCACTTCCTTTTGTCTACAGGCTTCAGGATTACAAATAGCCATTCTGAGATCTGGAGGGGAAGAATGTCTGTGTCCCAGCTACACTGGGCTTGGAGATGATTTTTTGGCCTTGGGTAGTCCCATCTCAGAGTGAGAGTAGATGCATATGGCCACATATGGGACAGTGGATCGTGTTAGATACGATCTTTATAATCACATTACTGGGAGTGACAGTGCACAGTGCACACCCATTCATTGTAGAGTGAAGGCAGGAATCACAGTGGGTACTGTTTGTGCCTTCAAAGGCCCCCTCTTCCTATTCTTCTATTAGCAGAACTTACCTGCCCTGACTACACGGAGTGCACTGACCTTGGCAGGGTCAATCGTAACGTCCATCCCACCAGCTAGCGATTGCTTCAAGAAAGGACACATGAGCCATTTGTTGAATTCTTACGTATTTAAAACTAGGAGAGGAAAATCTGCCTCTCTGGGGTTACGGTGCTGGCATTCTGCAGCCTAGAGCCAATAACAGCTCAGCCCCGGGCACTGAGGCCAGTCTATGCAGGAGAGTGAGCATGAGATGGACACCAGCAGAGACGAAAGTCAGAAGAAAGCCTCCACTCGCTCCTTTTAAAAATCTGGCCCAGCTGAGCCTCTTCTGAAGTTTGATGACATGACACAATGCGTTTTCTTCTTTAGCTCAGGCTGCTTTGCAAGTTGGCTGCTTGACTTACTATGCTGGTACCCAAGCTAAGAAACTTGCCTGAGTCCACCCAGCAGTGGGAGTCTCAGACTAAAGCAACCTGCCCATTCAAAGGTGACTCTTCCCATGTACCACACTGAGTCCAGGCTTGGGAGGAGGTATCTCCCTCTCCCCAGAGAGAACTGCCCAGGAAGAAGATGAGCGAGGGAGGGTTGCTTGGGAGAAGAGCTGGGATCTGACCATAGGTCCACCTTTCCCAAAGCCTGGGCTTTTAAAAATGATGTACTATCTCCTTTCTCATCTTCCTATCAGTCCAGGCATCAGGCTGAGCTGTCCCACACACAGGTGCTCAAAGACTTGTTGAATGAACAAATGATCCTCTGATTCCTTATCTGTCAATAGGTAGGAGAGAAAAATTCAGGGTCCTTCGCTGATGCCTTGGAGAACATGGGTGTGGTACACATCATGGCCCGACTAATGGGCTGAGCTCCATGGATCAGAATATAAATGCTGAGTCAGTTTCCTCCCTGGGCAAGATCTGGGGATTCTGTCCTCACTGACCTTCAGCACAGGCTGCATCGACATGACCACTAATTCTGTCCTTGGAGTTTTACCGCCCCGCTGAGCTCATCAGTGTGGTTACTGCTCCTCCAGCCTCTTCCTCAGGGGCCCACCTTCCAATCTGCTACAGTGGCAGAAATCTCTCAGAGATGGGAGGTCAGGTATGTAAAACAAGGCCAAAATCACAGGCCACCGGGGGGGTGGGGGGTTGGGGGGGGTGGATTGATGGCCAAGTTCATACAATCTATCAGCTCGTCTCCGCAGTGATCCAAAGACTGCTGAAACGGCAAAGTCACCCCGGCTGGGCTATTTATCTCAAGCACAGAAACCAGCTTCTAAAAAGAAAAGGAAAATCTCTCCTGGTGGTGGTTTATTTTCCTTCTCTATTTACTTGTTTTTCTTTTGCTCCAATTAATCTTTTCATAAAACTGTGCTCTCTCTGATAAAGGTTAGTTGCTACTCGTGAACCCATTTGTAGGCCTCTTATTTACTGTCTGTGAACAGATTCAGGAACAGGAGGCCTCATGCTCTGCTGGAGTGAACCTGGTCTGGGTTCCAGTCCGAGCGTGATGCTGTACTAGCCTCAGAATATTTATTCAAGCTCTTGAAGGTACAATTCTCCCGCTTGAAAAGTAGGAACAAAAATTCAACTAAGTGTATTATGAGGCCAAGGTGGTTGGATTGCTTGAGCTCACAAGTTAAAGACCAATCTGATCAAGAATTGGTCTCTAAAAAAAAAAATAGCTGGGCACTGTGGTGGGCACCTGTAGCTCCAGCAAGTGAATCGCTTGAGCCCAGGACTTTGAGGTTGCTGTGAGCTGTGACATCATAGCACTCTTCTGAGGGCAACAAAGTAAAACTCTTGTCTCAAAAAAAAAAAAAAAATGACAGCAACTATTAAGTGACCTATTATTATGAGCTAGAAAATGTGATAAGCATTTTACATATATTATTTCATTCAAATAATATATGAAAAGCCAATAGAACATAGTGGTAATAAGTAGTAGTCGTGGTAACAGCAGGCTGGGTACAGTGGCTCACATTTGTAATCCTAGCACTCTGGGAGGCCCAGGTGGGTGAATCGTCTGAGCTCACGAGTTCAAGATCAGTCTGAGCAAAATTCTAAAAATAGAAAAATTAGTCAGGTGTTATGGTGGGCCCCTGTGGGTCCAGCTACTCAGGAGGCTGAGGCAAGAGGATTGCTTGAGCCCAGGAGTTAGAGGTTGCTGTAAGCTATGATGCCACGACACTTTACCCAGGGCAACTGAGTGAGACCCTGTTTTAACAAGAAAAAAAAATAGTACTGACAGTAATATTTTATTCCCACAATAAATGTTGTTGTTGTATATATCAACTGTGCATAAGGAATTCATATTCTTTTTTTTTTTTAGTCTTTTTCTTTTTTTTTTTT